ACCTCGGCAGGTGACGACCTCGGTTTCAGTTGACCTCGGCAGGTGACGACCTCGGTTTAAGTTGACCTCGGTAAGTGTAGGTTACTTCGGTCTTTAGTAGCTTGGACCGGCTCATTGCGGGGACTAGCAAGGTTTTGGATCACGTCAGTTTCAATAGTTAATTTCACTTAACATGATGCTCAAAACTCCTTAATGGTGTTTTGCCGAGTCGGATGATAACAGGTATATATTGTATATTTTCGGTATATGTATCGATATAAAAATTTGTATATTTTGGGTATGAAAATTTTGTACATGATTTATATGTTACCATCAGATATGAAAATTTACACGTTGCGGGTATATACCAAAGTTGCACAATACACATATACATAAAATATACGTACAATATGCTTAAAATACACAATCGAGATTCACGTAATTCAAGTCCACGATACCACATATACATAAAATATACTTTAAATATACACTCGAGTTTCAATCGTTTCTCAAAATCGATTTCAAAACCCACATATACATAAAATATTCCTAAGATATACACTCGAGATATTTTCACGAGCAGATCGTTTCTCACGGGCAGAACCCACATATACATAAAATATACCTAAGATATACCTAAAATATACCTCAAATATACCTAGGTTATACAATCGTTTCTCACGAGCAGACAAGAAGGTCTCAGGCTTCGCTTGACTTCCGAGGGCTTGTGGCCGGAAAAACCTGTGTCTTGGAACATGGCCACTGTCGCACACGAAGCAGGCGCGCTTATCTTGGTAGAGGGCTGCAGTCGGAGTGTGCCTGCCTCGCCCTGAATGGCCTGGTGCTCTTGGTACTAAACCCTAAAATGGCCTGGTGCTCTTGGTACTCGCCGGAATTTGGTGCATCTTGGGTGTCCTTGAATCTCCCCGCCTAAATTCGGGTTTTTTGGTGCTCGTGGATCGCCGGCTCGCACGACTTTCTCGTTGCCGGAAAATTGGTGGTCTCCTTCTTTTCGAGGAAGATGACAGATTTTTGGGAACTTTCTGAGGGATTTTTTTTCGAGGGGGACGGGGATCTGTAACTTGTCGAGGAAGATGACAGATTTTTTTATTTTTTTCTGGTAGTTCATGGCGGAAATCACGCCACAATCTGTTGGAGAGAGGATGACAATCTGTTGGAGAGAACCGTTACAAAGGTAACGGATATTAAGGCAATCTCATAAATAAATTACCTTCATTAGGTATATCTCCTATTATTTGTTCAATGAAGATAAACTTGAAAATACTTTCATATCCTTTAGTAGGCGTGAAATTTTCCCCTATATTAATGACATGTGCACATGATGTATTATACTTGTGAACATGCCATTTATCAAAGGAAATGAAATATGAAAGTGGAATATGAAATCTTACCTCATACCATTATATGTAGCCAAGTGTACGGTATTTAAGAAACACATACACACACACACATCCGACATTTGGTAAATTTCATCAGGGTTGGATTCCAAGATGTCGGATTACATACCAAGTGTTAATCCACTGACTAGAGTTGAATTAGATACATTCATATAACTTTTCATCATCATTTGATGAATTTCACCCTATGATGGGTTCCAAGTTGTCGGATCACACGAACACACATAGATCCGAGGTGTGTTCGTGTGATCCGATGACTAGGGTTGAATTTGATACATTCATTTAACTTGTGACCTATGTTCCAAGGTATCGGATCACACGAACGATCCGAGGTGTGTTCTGTGATCCAATGGCTAGTGTTAAATTAGATACATTCATATGACTTGTGACCTAGGTTTCCAAGGTGTCGGATACACACCCGACATATTGGGTTACAGTATGTCAAATCACACAGGTTACAATTTGTCATATCACACCCAGTGTGTTTCGATGTTTTGATGACACCCAGTGTGCTCGTGTGTTTCGATGTTTTGATGGCTAAGATTGAATTAGTTGTAGTGTGTTTGTGTGTTCCAATGGCTAGGGCTGAATTCTTCTTCTTCTTCTTCCATGCGAGTAGTATACACTTAATTTGGAGGCGGAAATGATACGAGCCACACAAGGACGACAATTCGCGCAACTAGTTTACGACTTCATGAAAAGAGGGCAAATTCCTTTCATGATTTATTTTGTACATTTACTCATGTGCCCAGTTGTTAGCAGTTAAAACCTTTCTCCATCGCAACACTTAACACAAAAACGAGCTAACCAAAACACGAACCAAAATAAACAAGCTCAAACACCTTTTCACCTTTCAATTAAATATGCGATCTTTATTCCCCCAAACGAGCACAGAAAACACGGGAGGAAGCCAAAGTCCATTCGCACACAGCCGGTGACCGACGAAAAAAAGTTTGACGACAAGTTTCCACGCCACACAAATAAAGTTTCAGCACCCGACATGCCTTCCCAGGCAAGCAAGAGTCTCAAACCATTACACATTGTTGCTTAAATATTCATATCACCCGAATTCTTTATCGGTCACAGTAGTGTTTCTAGAAGTTTCACATCAACAACAGAAAAAAAACACACCATTATGACCGATTTTGAGATGGCAACCTATCCGACCCATGCCTGTGGCGGAAACTGCTCGGTCTGAGTCCACTGTCGGGCCCACGTAACGGGCCCCATATCGAGTCGCGGTCTGGCTGGCCCAAAGGGAACAGTGCCTGATTGTGTTCCCTTTCCCAATGGTGGAAAGGGTCCCGATTAGGGTTTTCGGCTTCTTGGAATGTTCGGCTCCCGGAGGATGCACTTGATGACAGTAGGTAAAACCCGTTGGGCTGATCAACGGGTGATGATGCGGAGATTGGGCCCAACTGGGGTATAATCCTCTGGCCGCTCGATCTTCGGGCAGTGGATATGGCGGGGGCCCGGCCCACTGGGTTACCAGTGGATTGCTGAAAGTATGATTGAAGGTTCGAGGGGCGGTCGCGGGGGCGTGTGATTGCGCCCCCGGGGTAAGTCGGAAGCACTGATGAGGTGATGGAGCTCGGCGCTCGACTTGCAGAACTGTAATGATATATATACATAAAACATTAATAAGCAAGTCACAAAATCTAGTTTTGGTCGAAGAAAACACTTTATAAGTTTATTTTTATTGGTATTTTTGGTTAACCAAGGTTAATTTGGTGAAGAGGTTAGGTTTGAGTGGAATTTTGGGTTTGTATAAAATAATATCTAAAACAAAATAATTAAAGTTAGTTTGATGTAAAAGTAGAAGAGAGGTGATTGGAAGTGATGGGTAGTCAATATTATGTGAGTTTGAGTTAATTATATTGATTATATTGAGAATAGTGGGTTCGAGTTAAAGTTGAGTTAGTTTTGAGTTGAGATTGAATTTTTTTGAAGGAAAAAANNAAAAAAAAAAAAAAAAAAAACTTGTATCCAAGCATGCACTTATGGTTTAAGACTTTTTTCTCGACTGGCTCAAAATTTTATAAACCGTTCGGGGGTAAATTAAGAAAAAATACATCGTTTGCTTGGGGTTTGATCTGTCTTACATTTACCTAATTTGCTTGGGGTTTTCACATAAATTTCCCCTATTAGAAAGAAATGATTCGGGAGTAATAATAATACCAACCTGTGACCAACAATGAAGGGATGCATTCCAGCTCTCTGGATATCAGAGCTGTTCCTAGCAATCCGAGTGTTTGTGGTGAAAGCTGAAGTCTGGTCCCAGTTTTGATAATGTAAATCCATAGACTGGAAAGCATATGGGCTGGGACCATCAGTTGGGCCCGATGGGCCATTCCAGTGGTTGTTAAAACTGGATCCATCTGAAACACTCCCACTCGGCCCAAAATATGTTACATAAGGGCAGGGATGGGATGTGGATGAGACGGGCGTATGTTCAGCAAAGACAGCATGTGGCCCAAGAAGATCATGATCTATGGAGAAAAAAAAATGCTGCATATTACGAAAGAGACTTGATCTTATACATAGTGGTGTATAGCAGAGGTCAACGAGTCTTACATGCACTTGATGAAAACTCTCCTTCACTGCAAAAAGAAATTAAGTGATAGTTAGCTGAGCAGCTGCTAACTGAAAGATAGGAGGAACCAAAAAAGCATGGAATAGGAAAGTTAAATAAACATCAAATAAAAAAGGATAAGAAAACACCAATAAAAAAAGGCTTATCTACATGACCAAAACAAAAAGGAAACCAAAAATAAAAATTAGTCAAGATCTGTATTTTAGTATTTGTAGCATATTAGCAGAAGCTGAACAGAGGAGGAATGTAGTATTCAATGAATCTCATATAGTATGATAATATTACAAAATAATTTTAAAATTTCGGCAAAGACTCTTCATCTAAAATGATTTCTTGTAACCCCTTTTACAGCAGCTACCGTCATAGCATCTCAAATATTTCATTAACAAAAGACATGATGTCAGCTAGAATAGCCAGGATTCATGAAGTTACTTGAGTTTTTGGATAGGGGAAAAAAATGTTTATATAGACCTTTGTTTGAGATGTTTTCACTTTTTGATAGTCTCGATTTGGATGGTAAAATTATATCTAATTATATTAGAGCAGGCTGAAAATAATGGAATATTAATTATGGACTGTGGCTTCTTTTGTCCTTCTAAACTATAAAAGAGTGTGAAATTTGTTACGAGACCTAAGAAGACAATAGATTTCTCAACCACCAAGTTCATGGTAAGTGTCAAAAATGAAAAAACTTGTGTCCACATATCAGACAACTCAGATGCATCAAGCACTTTGGTCGCACATCTAACTTTGCTTATACCGAACCAAAACGATGTGAAAATACAAAATGCAAGCCATACTCATAAGGATGTGCTCTGGATATACATCTAAGTTTGGTTGAGCACAGAAATAATGTAAAAGTACTGAGTGCAAACCATACTCATAACTGTTGGCACATCACAGGATTTGATTAAGGATACCTCATTCAGCACATTGATGACCAACGAAATGAGAATATGGACTATTCTAATGAGTAATGCTCCCCTACCCACGGTGGGCACATGTTAATATGCCCACCGCTTATGTGGCATGCACTCATTGGTGATGTTAATATGTTCAAAAAAATATATCACCAATGTGTGCATGCCACATAAACGGTGGGCATATTAATATGTGCCCACCGTGGGTAGGGGAGCACTACTCCTATTCTAATATACTGAAAAATTGCTAAAATATGAGGTTATGTTATTTCAGTCAAAATAAGTACCTCCGTAGAAGAACAAATGTGAAATGAAAAGTTAGCCAAACACAATATACCATTACAAGCTCTTGGCATTGTCTGTGGCGTAGAAACATTGAACGATGAGGATAAACAAACACATACTCTATATACTGGAACTTTCAGGAAAGAACCTAAAATATTTGGAGTTTAACTAGCTAAAAGAGACACATAGAAGAAGGTAGAAGATAGAGCTTACCCGAATGATGTAGGGACCCTTGCGAACGGACACCAATGAAGTCCAAATGACTGCAAAACAATTGATAAATATTCGTGAAACTGGAATTAGGACAGCTAGGTTCTATTTCAGTCTTTTTTTGAGCTGCAAAAATCTAGTAAAGTGATACCCCCATTAGCATATATCTGGATAAATCAATTTAGGTTGATCTGACAGCTTGCATGTGATAAAATAAGCATCTAAATTGAAGCCTACAAACACACACAGGGTCATATCAGTCTGTACAGCAGCTGCAGACAAGCAACTATATGATGCTCCAGCTTATGTTCGCATTTTTAAGAATATTCTCAACTACGTGCAAAGCGTCCATGAAGAATAGAAAACTGAGCTGAAACACCCTTTTGATGTTCTTCTCTTTCTTACAACGTCGCTTATTTTAAAACCCCACACAACCTAAGCCAGGTCCTGCACTACTCATGACAATTTTAATGAGGATAAGTGTTAAAAGCATTTTGACAACAAGTTTACATCATTCTTTTCTAGGAGCACATAATCAATCAACAACTCACATTAATGATAAATTGGTCCATCGGCAAATAAAGAATGGAAACAGAGATAAATGCAGTCACTTCCTAACTTGAGAATACAAATAAATCTACAGATGCTAATAAGTTGGATTTAGATATTTACCATCTCAGAATAACTTAAATCATATAGATCCTCATCATGGGCCCAATCCTCAAAGCTAAACTCAGGTAGTGGACGGCTACCATTTGCATATAGCCACTGGCCTTTCTCAATTTTCCGACAATTCGGGCACTGCATGGCTCCCTTAATATTGAATGCTGAACCTATGCAATCTGCATGCATCATACCATATAGAGATGTGATAAGAAATTAAGCTTTTGAAGTACAATAAATAAAAATCAGGATAACTGAGATCTCGAACAAGAAAATTGTTTGTCTTACTGCTTAGGAAGATATGTTACCCGGACTCTTCTATTTAGGAAGAATACCCGTGTCATGTTGTGTCGACACTGGTGTGGGTATGAGTGTCGGGTGTGGCATTTTAGCCTAAAATGTTCAAGATTTCTAAACTATTGACGAGTCGGACGCTCATATCTCCACACCCGATACACCACCCATATCCGAGTCCAGGTAGCATAGGGAAGATGCCATAAAGATCATTATCCTTACGGAGTAATGAAAGTTAATGCATGCCATCTAAGAAAACGATCCAACTACAATTCCTCAAAGCATCAGATATTTAATACTATATATCAAAATAATAGGAGTAGGTATATCTTCCATCCTTAAGATACTTCAGGGATAGTCCATGATGGTATAGGCGATCATGGAATTTTTAAAGATCCACCACAGCACATGACACGTGGTTTATAGAGTACGATCTACCAAATCTTTCTATCAACTGAGACGCACAAACATCAGAAACACCAGCCTAGATTAGTAAATTATGACAAAAACAAGAGAAGTATTAATGTAATTATACCAAAAGATTATAAAATTCAATGTAGAGTTAATGTTAAGGTCTTTAATAATGTCTAGTGGGCCCCCAAAATGGACAAAAATGGAAAACAAATCGAGGAAATGTCGAGCATTAAAACGGAAACAAATGAACTGCTCAAAACAACTGTAGAAAAACTCTAAATCGACAAAGTATAATATATATATTACATGCAGCAAAAAAAAATTGCAAAATCCAATCTAGGAGTTTACCAACTTAAGAAAGCACGGCCGAAAATGATTATGTTATGATCGGAAACGTTAATGATCAAGATCAAACTTCATAAAGTACGAAACTTGCCAGCTCTAGAGATATGTTATGAACCCTACCTACTTATATTCTACAGTCAATGAAACTAAAGACCTTGACATGGAAATGCCAATCAGAGCTCTTGCCATCACCCATTCCTAACTTTACAGTAAAATTTAAAATAACAGACTTTCATCAAACATGACATCACAATAATTAAGCTCCCATTTCATTCTTATATCGAACCCAGTCCTACATTGCAACAAAATTCTTAAATAGACAAAAAGAACTGCATCCAAAGAGCATTCAAACATGGTAATGAGCTCTCAATCCCATTCTTTACCCAAGTAAAAAACTTGCTCAAGCCACCAAACTACAATCTAAAAACTCAATTGAACCCAACATAATTTTTCAGTTAACACACTCCATTCCCAGATCTTGGAACCTGAAATCCGCACTCTCCAACCTGGCCACGGAAAAAACTAATGACACATCGTGATCCGAACAAAATCGTCTCACAACACACTAACGAATCCCAGCCCCCCATCACTCCCAAGTCAAAATTCACGAGTTTTCTAACACAAAAATCGACGCGAATTCGAATCGACTAATTCACGATCTCCACCCAACGAGTTTGCAAAGTTTTATCATCACTCACCGAGGTGGAATTCGTGCCCGCATTGAAGCTTCGCCCGAGATCTCTCCCCGCTGTCGGCCACCACCTCCAAGCAAATGGAGCACGAAACCGCCGCCGACAACAACGCTTTGCAACCGCCTCCGTCGCCATCGTCGAGAAGATCCGCATCTCCCAAACCCATAACTCCAAAACGAAACAGCAAAATTCACAGGAACCCTAAATTTTACTCACAAATTAAGCTCCGCCCAATTAAATTAAAATTAAATTACACCACACAACACTGAATTGCTCGAATAATCGGGCAATTATTGGGCGCAACGCAAGTTGGGATGAGAGTTGGCGGAAGGTAGAGAGAGAGAGAGAGAGAGAGAGAAGAGCAGATGAAAGGGAAGATGTATGAAAGTGTCAACCTTTGTTCTTCTCCATTCTTTCGATTTTTCCTATTTTTACTCGATTAATTTAATTTAATTTAATTTAATTCAATTCACCGTTGGATTGAGGTTTTCTTTTAATTAATTAATAATTAATATATTTATTTATTTATTTTAATTTTTGGTGTAGTATTTTATTTTGCTGTCTTAAAGTGGGTAAGCGCTGTCTAATAAAGTAGGATAAGGATAAAGATACGTAACGCGCCGCATGACATCACCTAAATCTGCTCTGTCAGTGGACTCGTGTTTGGGCCTAAGGCCCAAGTCGTCCAAAGTCCACAATTTGGTAACATAAAGGCAAATTTTTATCTCTTGTTTTTACTTGAAATATAATATTTAACTAAATTAATGTCTATATTCAGTTACCTATCATTTCAACCTCCACCTCTTTATTTTGAGCATGATTTGTGTTCTGTTACTAAAAAAAATACTTGATGATTATGGAATGAATATCATACACAAAACTTATGTATTTTTAAGAGAGATAAATGAAAACATGCATATAAACTGACTCCCTTAATTCGCGCAGTTTATGCATTTTTAATATAATAAATGAAAACATGCATTGTAATTCACGCGGTTGTCAAGTGTTTTGAATGATATATTGCAATTATGGCTAGTATATATTCAGTAAATGTTATAATAATCTACTGACGGTATATGTATTGTTTACTTGACTGAAATATTTAGTTTCGTGTTTTTTTTCTTTTGTTCGTTTCTTTAACTGTGTTTCACTGACGGGTATATGTATTTGTTTTTGTTTTCGTAAAAATTGCATCTACAATGAATGTTGTGTTCATAGTGAGTAAAAATTCTCAACTATCAATATATATTGCGTTTGTAGTTATTATATGTTGCAATAACCTCGTAATATATCAAAAAAAAAAATGCTTGTTTGTCAAATTCGTCTTCAACAAAATAATTTTCTAATATACCAACATAAACTATGAATAAAACATCAAATAAATTTTGAAAACAAAAAAACAACATCCACTGCCAAAAAGTACTCACAATTAAAAATAAGCTGCGCGAATTAGAAAAAAATAACACAAACAATAATCAAAACAACATAAACAATAATCAACCAAAAAACAACAAATTGTTCACATAAACTACGAATAAACATTGAAACAGAAGTAAAAACCTTGTAATTACCAAACATACATTGTGAATAAACATTAAATAAACAATGAAATAGATCCAATCAGAAGTATTCGTATGTTGTCGTTGCCCACAAGAAAACTATCTAGGGTCATTGATAGTGTGCCGACGGGAATATATACTAAAAATATATTGTAAATAAACGCAACATATATTGTCGACATCATATGGTCATTGAGATTGTCCAAGATTATTTATCCTTTTCTTATTCTCTTGTTTCAACTAGTGATGGCAATGGGGAATTCCCCATCGGGTATTGACTCCCCATACCCATCCCCGTGAGAGAATTTTCTCCCCATGGGGATCCCCATTTATGCTTTCGGGGAGGATTTTCTCCCCATCCTCATTACCCGCGGGGATAAATCCCCATCGGGGATCCCCATACCCGCTAATTGTTATTGATATGTATTTTATTTATACTATGTAGGTGGTATAACATCACATTATATGATTTCAATTTATCACATTACATACATAATATGATATTATGTTTACATATTTAATATATTCTCATGTAATTACATCATCATTCATGTGTATGTATAAATATATTGGAATAACTAGCATGTATACTAGCTTAACGGGTCCCCGCGGGTAAACGGGGACGGGGATTGGTTCCCCATCCCCATACCCGTTTACCCGTCGGGGATGATTTTCTCCCCATTAGCACCCCCATGGGGGAAGATTTCATCCCATCCCCATCCCCTAATAGAGGAATTCCCCACGGGTAATCGGGGATCGGGTCCCCATTGCCATCCCTAGTTTCAACCTCTGCCCGTCAACGATGTCTATGCTCATGTCTTCTTCAACTTCGTCACTCCCGATTGTATTGTCCTCGCTTCAACGATAAAATCGGGGTCCTCTGTGGCATCTTCTTCGGACAAATTGGGGTTCTTTAATTTTGGCCATCTCCGAGTCTTATTTTGCTTAATTTCACCTTGGTCGGACTGAAAATCGTCGATTTCATTACGAATTTTACCCATATTCTTGTCGTAACCACCCGGCTTCAATTTCTTATTGAAATTTTAGTTTTTTTTATGAAACATGTTTCCAATGCCTTTCGGCTGGAGATGACGGAGGTATGAACTTGACCGCACTTGTGTAGTCTCACCGGCGCCGCTCGATGAGTTTAAACCAACCTCCGGCGACAATGGACGAGTCAGTGATGGAAGAATAAGAAGAAAAAGAAATAGACGAAGAGTTAGATGAAAAGAATAAGAAAAAATAAAAATAAAAGAATATAAAGGGAAAATAGATAATATAATGAGAGTTAATGCAATCCCATAAAAAGTGGAATCAATTTCAATCCATGAATCACACATAATCCGACTCCCTAAATTAAAAGATAAGTTAACTTAAATTTAGATTCTAGTATATGTGCAAATATATTGAGGTGATTTAGTTGGAAATAAATATTAATTACGTATAAATATGTAATATAAAATATATATGTGGTATGAGATTTTTTACCCAAAAATCGACAAAATCGAGTAATCTTTAAAATAAAATAATTAAAGTTGATTTGTTGTAAAGATAGAACAACAGTGATAATAAGTGATTGTTAATTAAAATGATGTGAGTGGATGAATTGTAAAATAAAATTGATATGATGTGTAAGGATAATTGATTAGTTTTATATAATTATATGAATAAAATTAAAGACAAGATAATTGAGTTAATGTTGAGTTATATTTAAGTTTTAATTAGTTTTTTACTGAACAAATTTATATCCAAGGAGTCTGAATTATTGGACAAAACATGTCTTCAAATTGCCAACTTTACAGAGAGCGTATAGCCGCAAAAATCAAGGAGAAATTTGCACCATACACGTTAAATATAATTTTTTATTACATTAATAAAATCAAGTAATAAATAATTGCAATTCAACCAATTCAGCACTTTTTATTTACAAAACTACCAATGTCAATAAAACTTATCACCTTCCCAAAATCTAATCAGATATTCTCTCTCTCTCTCT